TGCCGTGCCCAGACTCTCCCCCAGGGCCACAGTCCAGGGGAATGAGGCAGGACGAACATTAATGGTAATGAATCCTCAGCAGAAGAGAGGTGTTTCTCTCCTCCATGCCAGCATTTGGCAAAGTGCTTGGACGCACATGGACCTTGAAACACTTTGCTTCTTGAAGGGCCGTTTGACTCTACCGGGACTGAAATGCAGAGTTTGCTGCACAAGGGCTCATGCCAAGTTCAGCAGCTCTGAGAGCAGTAGGTCATGCACACCAGGACTCGTATTTTGCTGTGCAGTCGGAGGGTTGTCAGGGCAAATCTCCTCTGCTCAGTGCTGAATCCTGGGACGCAGAAATCTTCTGTAGTGGTTGGATGAGAGCGTGGACCTGGGCTGTGGGGCCTCATGTGAGAAAGAGAAATAAGAGATGAGGCCTGGTGGTGCATCCCTCTGCGGTGGGACTCCTGGGATCTCTCTCCCTTGCTCCTTTGCTGCCCTCAGAGGCTGCTCTTTCCAAGCAGCACAGACACTGATGCTGCTGCTTGCCTCTAGGGCAACAAGAATGCCTTAAATTTTGTGCACAGCCCTGAATTACATTTCCAAAGTAAGTTGAACCCGGCAGATCAAAACATGTGATCGTTTTCTGCTGGACACTACAAGCTGTAAGAGGCTGTAGTATGTGTGTTTGTTGTGAAACGGGCCTCTCTGGTGATGATTATTTTTGTTACAGGCAGAGTTGGCTTTAGTCTCTGTGTTGAAGGTCCAACAATAACAGTGAGCCCTGCTCTCCTGGGGTGAGGGAAATCCAGAGGGGTTTAAGTGGCAGGAAATTCAAGTAGGAGAACGCACTGCTCCCAGCCTAAGGTTTCAGCATGCACTGATGAGCTGCAGAGCTGAAAACCCCCAAGTGTGGGTAGAGGTTCCCGGGACCTGGCTGTTATTTTTGGGTCTCCTGAGTGGTGATTGCTCACTGCAGCCTGGGGGAGGGAGGGGGAGAATTTGTCAGCCTGGATGTCTGCAGTGGGTCAGGGCAGGGTTTTTTTGGGTCTACCTCTTGCAAAGAGTAAAGAGTTCAGCTTCTGATACCCATCTCTGTAGGAGAATTTGGAGTTGCCTGCTGTACGATGCAGCATTTGCAGGAGTTTGCCTTCATGAGCTTCACCAGGTCTTTTTTTTCCCAGCCCTATGGCTTGGTCATTATCCTCTGGCATAGTTCCCCTGTTGGTGAACTGCAAGGAGGGGGTTGTTGGGATAATGTAAGTCACGTGGTGGCTTTAACTAAAGAGGAGATCTGGGGATTTCCCATCCAGAGGACCTGGAGCCTCTGTTGAGGAGCCTAGCTGCTCTCCTGTGGCCTCGCCATCAGCACAGTGCTCCACTGGCCTGTCCACCGTTTGGGCTGGCAGGGGCCCCAGCAGTTTGCTTTCAACCCCTGCATTTTGCTTACCGAGCAACAGGATGTCCCACGCACCTGGCAGACTTGGCTTATACTTCAGAATTTAATTTTAATTTTATTAAGTGAATTCAGGGCTGGCAAAAGCTGCCAGAGCCCATTAGCTGTGGAGCACGTCTCACTTCCAAAGCATACAGCCTGGGCAGTAGCCATACCACTCACCTTTTTTTCCTTTTTTTTTTTTTTCTTTTTTTTTTCTTGTTAATTTTTGCATTGATTCAAAGCATCAGTTTGAAAGGATAGGTTTATGTAGAAGGCTGGCCCTCTACTGTGTACCAAACAGGCCTGGTTTTATACAGAAAGCCAGTGTTTGGCATGTCTGCTAAGGCAAACTCTTTGCCTGTCAGGGAGCACAGTGATAGATATTTTTTTTTTTTTTGGTTGCAGATGTTTATCTGCTAGATACCAGTGAATCAAAGGAGAAAATTGCCCAACAGAACAAAGGTTTTCAAGTCATTTTGCCTCTTCAGATAACTCTAAGAGGTGCCGGTTTCCTTGGTACACTTGCCCACCACGTGGCTTGGTGCTGTGCGTGGACAAGGCAGTGCTGTACTGAAGCAGCCCCCTTCATTTCTCTGGACCTTCTTGGGGAGGGATGAATGAGAGGGCAAAATCTATTTCTCTGAGAGACACAGATAAGCTTCCCTGCAGGTGGAAGGGTTTTCTGTCTGCAAAAAGATGGGGAAATTTTCCTGGTGGTACCTGAACAACTAAGGGGCATGGCTGGTTTCACCTGCTTGTCCCATTCTGCTGCAGAGAGCTGGGCTCCAACCCTTCTCACTCAGGCTGTCCTCACCAGCAGTTTAACTTGGGCACCAAGCTGACCTGAAATCAGGATGAAGCCCAGGGATTTCCTTATCTCCATCCTGCTGAGCTGTGAAGGCTTCACAGGGCAAAAGAGAGGTTTTGAGATGAGGGTAAGCCCAGGTTTCTGCTCCTGAGTTCATTTGTCAGGGAAGAGCTTGAGCAAGCTGGAGCCTGACACCCCTGTTCGCATTGCAGTTCCCCTCTGACTGGTTGAGCTGCAATGGCTCACAGAGTATTCATAGTATCCAGCGTGAGTAAGGGGCTAGCAGCTTCTGAGTGGTGGGTGATGTTGGTGGTATCAGCCTAGCGGGTAGCATGTGTGTGAACGCTGGAGAGACGGGGAGGGGATGACGAGGTGTGGAAGGATTGACTGTATTTTCATTTGTTCGAGACTTTGCCCTTTCCAAGAAAAATAATCTACAGCTTGAATATTTCTCTTTGCTGGAGGGGGTGGACATGTGTGCAAATGAGGTGTGAATTTTTATGAGAAGGTGTGAAAGTGCGTACATGAGTGAAGTGTGAATTACACGTCTATTTGTACATTGATGTCAACAAATCCGTGAATTTCTTCCTTCCACGTGAATGTCTCCCTTTCTCTCCCTCTCTCGCCACAAACGCACATAGACACGTGTGTGGGCAAATATGCCTTGCTAAGAGAAGAGATTTGTGCAAGAACGTAGGTTTGTAAATGTTTGTGTGTTGAGCAAGATCTCCTGTGGAACAAAACCAGATGTTTTTTGGTATTCTCAGCTCTTCCATGGCGGTGTTGTGATTTTTCCCCTCATATTTTTCAGGATACTTACAGGATTATTTTAAGAAAAAAGGGAAGGCTGCAGAGATGCCTTTGGGTGTGTGAGAAGAAAGTTATTTTTAAGAATGAATGTGTTAGAGGGCATGAAAAATATGGGGGAAACTGAGACAGTATTTCTTCATGGCAAAGGAAGCCTCACTGCCCCATGAAGGGCCCTCCTATTGCCCTTGTTCCTGCACAGGGCACACGCGTTTTCCGCAGGCAGTGTGCAGGTGGCAGGTTGTTAATTCAAAGTGCGTTTTTCCAGGAAGCATTGCCGCCAAGGAGTCCTGCCTTGCTCCTGCTGCTTGTGTTAGCTCTGGCAAGAGGGCAGTTTGAAGGTGGGCTAGAATGTCCCCACTGAGAACAGGCAGACTTGTGATGACCTGGCAGGGGACACCCCTGGGGCCTGGCAGACCCCATAGCACGGGGACAGAGCCAGACCCACAGTGTAGGGTGAGCACACAGGAGTCTGTGCTGCTTTGCTTCTCCTGGGTGGTCCCAGGGCTTTGCAGCAAGTGCCACTGTGGGCAGGACAGGGAACAACTCTCAGGGCCAGGACAGTGGGGAGCACTGCAGAGACCCTCGCGGGGTGTGGTATGTGTGGTTACTCTCCTACACCAAGGGTGATGATCCTCCTGTGCCTCGGTTCCCCCGCGGGCATGGGATGTGCATCAGGCCCCATGGCAAGGTGTGCACATGTGGACCCTGGGAAAGGCAACGCGCACCCTTCTGTGGGACTGGAGCCCTCCAGGGCTGTGGGGAGGCTGTGGGGACAGCCGTGCAGTGAGGATAATCCATGAAGGTTTGTGTCCCATGTTGTATCCCATTGCTTATCATCAGGGAGGGGAAAGCCTTTCTGCAACGCAGGACTGTATTCCTGCTAGCCTGCCTTGTGGAGGTTCCTAGGGTTTTGTCCGTTTTGCTGGGTATGAGGAGGCAATGCTGGCTTCTAGGGGCAGCTGTGGCAGCCCGTGGGGCCATGGCACTGGGACAGGGCGGTGGCAGGGGAGGGGGGCAGCAAGAGGCATGCAATAGGGGCCCCATGGAGAAAGGGACTTTGTTGGGGTTTGTAGTGCGTTATCAATTGGCCTTGTGATGCAGATTTTCCTCTCAGCAAGTAATGCAATAATAAATTTGATTTGCAGCGTTCATGAGATTAAATGTTTTTTTGAAGATGAAATCACCCTCCAGGGCCTGTTCTAACCCAAAGCTGAGAGTGCTTCCTCTGCTCACCACGCAGCTCTTGCCAGCTATTTGTGGGCTAGCCCCACAAACCCGCCACTGCTGATTAGCCATGTCTGCAATTCCAACGGCTGGGTTAGCTTGAACGGTTGGGAGGCAGGACGCCAGTTTACCAAGATGGGGTGGTGGGGGCAGGCGGGGCTGGGGAGGGAGAGCACAGCAAGCAGAGAAGGGCTGTTGTGGGGCTGTGGGCCGGGGCCAGGAGGGCCGGACGCTGTCCTTGGCTCAGCCCTTCTGTGCCTCAGTTTCCTTCCCTGGGAATAAAGCTTTCTGCACTCCTGCAGCTCTGTCAAGGGTCATATGCATCCAAATTTTGGTGTCTCCCGAGGCAGCTGTGGGAGACTGTCACAGAGCAGCTTCAAAAGGAGGAAAAAGAAGGGATAAAATTAGGCATCTCCAGATGATCTAATATCAATCTGTCTCTTACTTCATAGCTTTGTAATTGCCTTGGCGAGAGCATTTATTTCTCTTTTCTGGTCTGTGTGAAATGTGGTATGTAAGTGTGGCAGGAGGGGGAAGCGAAAAGGTGTAGGTTTGTTGTATAGAATAATTGCCCTTGCCCAGAGATTGATATGAAATATTAGAGTATCAAATGGATGTCAATGACCTGGAGAATGGCCTTTATCAGACCACCCTTAGCAGTGCCCCGAAAGGACTGGTTGTGCACGGCTGGTGCCCAGAACCCATTTCAATGCTTTGTTCCCTTCTGTGTCTCTGCAGCTAAGCCGTGTGGGGGCCGCCTGAACTCCAAGGATGCTGGATACATCACCTCCCCGGGATACCCCAATGACTACCCGTCCCACCAGAACTGCGAGTGGGTCATCTATACCCCTGAATCCAACCAGAAGATTATACTCAACTTCAACCCTCACTTTGAAATTGAAAAGCACGACTGCAAGTAAGAGCCTTCCTCTTCAGTACATAGTTACCTCCTCTTCCCACTTTTGCCTGGTGGTATGGGTCCCATGCCTCCCTGAGTGTGAAAACAAGCATTGTCTTGAGCCCCCATGGCTGCATCTCGTTGCCTTTGTGGGGCAAGTGTGCCTCTACCGACTGTGTGGTTATAAGATGCTGCCTAGCAGGATGAGCCTACTTTGCATTGAACTGGTTGTTCTTAACTCAGCCTGATACCACTTGAAAGCAAGAGCTAACTGGCTTTCAACCTTATTTTGACTTTGGTTCAAACACAACTTGTTTTTGTGTTGAAGTGGTCTCACTGTCCTTTTAAACCATGTCCTTTTAAACCATGGGAGAGCAGAGCGATTTCCTGGCATGTAACTAGGCGGAGGTATGGCACAGAGAGCCCTAGGGCTGGAGACCCAGGCTCGGGCTGTGTGAGGCTGGGGGCTTGGCAGTCTGAGCTGTTTAGACTGGATCTGACTCTGCAGTGCTTATTCTGCTGCATTTGGTAAACTGAGAGTTTGGTTTTGTTTGCTTTTTCTTCTCTTTCCTTCTAAGAAGGGACTTGGAAACTAGATGTCGGGGAAAAAACGATTAACAGCTAGTAAAGAATAATTAACAGCATCAAAGGGCACCATAAAAGGCTAAGTTAATAACATGGTCTCAACAGATGTATAAACCTGTGTGTTTAATCTGGAATCCACAGACAGCTACAGGGATGCCTGAGCTGTGAAGGAGCTTGGGGTCTCCTAAAACAGGTCTGACACAGCAGTCTTGCCAGACATGCTGCTCTTGTTGATTAAAAGGGGTTCATATATGGAGAGGGGAACTCTGTTTGCAAAAGGACAGAGGGACAGGGGAGGCATTTATGGGACTGTAGAATCAGTCCTGTGGAGAACAAAGAATTCGGCATGGGTTTGATGTACTGAAGGTTATGAAGTGTAGAGCTGGATCTTCAGCTACCATAAATCAGCATAGCTCCTCTAACGCTAATGAAGGTATACTGATTGATGTCATTTGGGATCTCGTCACCCCCTACAGATAAAGCCTGGGCTAATAAGGCTTCGCGCACTGTGAACTCTCCCTGAAGTCACTGTGTGTGCATGGTGTTCAACACTTAGCAGGATCAGGCCTGTGTTTAGAGAGGGGAGAAGGTAGAGAAAGTCTTAATGTGGGCATAAATGAACACAGCAAGGCCTCGGCAGTGCACGTGAGAATGATGGTTGCTATCAGATTTTATTATTGCTTGTACAGGCTGAACTGTATAGCCTTCTCATAGCTAATGCAGTTGCCCCAACTTCACAGTGATAAAAACTTTATAGGCCAATATTGGCAGTCTGCAGAGTATGTGACATGCAGTGGGCAGGGCAGTGTTGTGTGCAGGGCAGGGGTTGAGCTGGGCCAGAGGGACTCCAGCTTCTGCCTCTCCAGCATAAGGAGAGGTGAGCAAAGCCAGGTTGGTCAGAGAGACAGAAACCCCCATGAGCACCTGGCTTTTCCTGCATGTGTAGGAAGCTGTCGGTTTTGGTTCTGAGCATCTTGGACAACTTTTGCCGTGTTTTGCTGCCTGTGAGAGAGCAGGGTCTGGTCCTGAGCTGCAGGTGGTGTGTGCTGGGGGGGCTGCTTGAGTGCTGGAGACGTCATCCCTTTGCTGCTTTCTGCTTTACCATGGCAGATCTTCTGAGTGGCTGCTATGCGGTCTCACCCTTTAACTTTCTGTGTGTACTTGCATGAGGGAGCCTTTAGTTAAAGCAGAAAGGTTTGAGTTGGAGGGTTTTGGTCCCCTGTGTGGGAACCACGAATGGTGGAGGGTTTGTCAGGGTCTCTGTTTCAGTTCAGCTCCTGCGGCAACATTGCTCTCTAGAAACCAGGTATTAACATCAAACCTCTCCTGATAGTGAAGTTTTCATGCACCTCTATCCCCTCAGCTGCCACCTGTGTGCAAGTGAAACAGGGTTCATCCACAGTGCACTTGGGCTTCTGCTGCCTACAGGCATGAGCTGGGAGCCAAGCTGATTTTGGGTGCCTGCTCCCCACAGCCAGTACTGCCAGGGAGTGGGTTTGAAATACCTTCATGGACTGTGCTTGATAGGAAGCATAATAAAACAAATGAAACAGTGCACAATAAACACTGCCTAAAAAAATCTCCTTCCTATCAATTTCTTTCATTATTTTTTTTAAGTGACCTACCAGAAGGAGGCAAGTATTAACACTGTGTGATGCTTGGGCATTAAGCAGTAGTAATAGGTGACCATCTAGTAATAAACCTTATCTGAGTGTCAGAGAGTATTTTATGAAGAAGCAAAGGCCTCACTGCAGCTGCAGGGGGGAACCTTAGCAGGAACAGGAGTTCAGCATCAAAGAAATACAGTCTCCGGGAAGAGCCCTTCTTTTGACATCTGATCATTAATATAGAGGACATTCACACAAAGGTGATAGGCTGATGAACCCGATTGTGGCACTCTGTCCCTGGGCAGACAAGGTTCCCCCTACGCTGCTGTAGCTACCTGGCAGCTATTAGAGCAGGAGAGGGGTGCGCTGTGCTTCCAGCTGCCAGAGGTAAACACCATAACCCCTTCCTCTCTTGCTTCTTCCTTCAACATTTCATTTTACCTTATTAGGTTGAAGTTTCTCCCTCATAAAGCATAACATTTACATTCCTAAACCTATTCCAAGGCCTACAAAAATATCTGCAAAAGTCTTTTTAGTTTTACTGTGTCCTTTCTGGCCTTCCTTATATCTGTTTTAGATTTCCCTTTGGGACGGGAGGTGTTTCCTCCTGTGTTTTGTACAGTGCCTGGCACCCTGGGGACCTCTGCGGAAAAGTCAGTGATTTCCCCTCTCCAGACAGCTGGCTGGAAAGGGCCTGAGTACCTGGTGCTGCCCGGACACCGGAGCAGCAAGAGCTGGCTGCAGGGAGCAGCTTCGGCAGCCGGCCCTCCCTGCCTGGAAGTGGGAGCATCAGCCAGCGATGGAGCCTGGAGGTGGCAGCCAGGGGCAGCTGCTCCATGCTGATTGTTGCTGTTGTTTTTCTGGAGGCACATCTGGACTTTTTAATTTTTGGCTGTGTCCAGCTGCATAAAGAAGTAGCTG